ATGCAAATTAAAATCACAGTGAGATAACATTTACATCTACCAATCCATTTGAAACTACTGTCACAAGGCAGAAATCCATGTCAATACTGGTAGGAGCAGGACTGTGCAACTTCTAGAAGTAGAGATTTGAGTGACCATGTCCACTGCCCAGTGAGCCCAGCTGCAATATTGCTTTGTGACAGTTTAAAAATTGTGAAAAACAATGGGTCTATGTCATATGCTGGACAAGCTGAACACAGCAAAACCCTGCAAGGAATCCTTCTCATTGTGGTTTATGTGCATGCCATCTTCTGAAGTTGTGCAGAACAAACATAGGAATTTGCAGGGTCCTGGCATATGCTTGAAATGTCAATTTCTGGATTCTACCTTCTCAAGGCCTGCACTCCTGAAGTGGGAAACTCCCCAAAATACAGGAAAGGGGGTCAAAATTGTTGGGTGGCTGTTAAAGGCTGAATTGTGTCCCTCCAAAATTCCTATGTTAAAGCCCTAAACCTCAGTGCCTCAGAATGTAACTGTATTTGAAGATAGGGCCTTTAGAGAGAAGATTAAGTGAAAATAAGTCTGTTAGGGTGGGCTGTATTCCAATTTGCCTGGTGTCCCTGTAAGAAGAAGAAATTTGTTCTATGAGGGGACACCAAGCATTTGTGTGCACAGGCAAAAAAGCCATGTGAGGACACAGCATGAAGGAGGCCATCTGCAAGCCAAGGAGAGAAAAAACCAAATCTATGGACATCTTAATGTTGTTCAATTGTGAGAAAACAAATTGCTGTTGCTTAAGCCACCCAATCCGTGGCATTTTGTTATGGCAGCCCTAGCAAACTAACACAGTGACCAAAAAAAACAAGTGTTCTCTAAAACTACTCACAAGAGAAAAATAAAAGGTAGTATTATAAAAATTATTAGTCAAATAATTTTTAATCAAATCAAGTACATTATCAAATAGATAATCAAATCAAAATAGTGATTACTTCTGGAGAGATTTGCCTAGGATGTTGTAAATTAGCGGTACCAGGGACTTTTTGGTACCAAGGACTGGTTTCACAGATGGGGGTGGAGATGGTATGGTTTCAGGATGAAGCTGTTCCACCTCAGATGATCAAATATTAGATTCTCATAAGGAGCGTACAACCTAGATCCCTCACATGCACAATTCACAATAGGGTTCGCACTCCTATGAGAATCTAATACTGCCGCTGATCTGACAGGAGGCAGAGAGAGCTCAGGCGGTAATGCTCCCTCACCCTCCGCTCACCTTTTGCTGCGCAGTCCAGTTCCTAACAGGCCACCAACTGGTAGTGGTCCTGGGCAGGGATTGGGGACCCCTGTGGTAAATTATCTATATCTTGATTTGGGTAGCTGTTACACAAGTGTGTGTTTGTGTCTATGTGTGTGTAAATGTGTACAATTTTGTGGTGTTATTTGTATACATTTTAGGTTTGCATACTTTACCATGTGTATGTTTTACCTCAAATAAAAAGTAAATTTTTAAGAACTACCACAAACAAAGTGAGTGGGTCACTTAAGGTCAGGAGTTTGAGACCAGCCTGGCCAACATGGTGAAACCCTGTTTCTACTAAAAATACAAAAATTAGCCAGGTGTGGTGGTGCACGCCTGTAATCCCAGCTACTCAGGTGGCTGAGGCAGGAGAATCGCTTTAATGTGGGAGGTGGAGGTTGCAGTGAGCTGAGATCATGCTACTACACTCCAGTCTGGGTGACACTGAGACTCTGTCTCAAAAGAAAAAAAAGTGGCTGGGCGCGGTGGCTCATGCCTATAATCCCAGCACTTTGGGAGGCCAAGGCGGGCAGATCATTTTTTCTCACAAAAAATGAGCTAGCTACCTTTCCTTTCCCTGAAAATGTGGAATCGCTGAGCTGGGAGATGAATAGAAATAGTTTAAACCCTGATTAGTAAAGGTCTTGCCATGATTTTTCAGAACAGGAGTTTCAATGGTGTTATAGCCCTAACTGTTAGAAAGTTCTCATCAATTGCTTCTAACAAATGGTTCTAATTCTGTCCTCTTGGGCCACATAGAGCATATTTAATCCTTCCTTCCTATCTAAACCCTTCAACTATTTGAAAAGTTTTTAGTTCCCCTAAGGTCTTCTCAAGGCTAAATATCCCCAGATTTTTCAAATGTTTCTTATAGGTCATGATTTTGAGCCTCCTCAACTCAGATGCCAACCTTCAGACACACTCCCTTTCTTCAGAGAATAAGTGAATGAGAAAACCTTATTGATCATCCAACAAAAGAAGAAAAGCCAGTGATAACATTAATTCTCAGACTCGGTACTATTTATCAGAAAAGAGTTGGGTATGGTTTTTTTTTCATATTAAAAGGTGAATTTAAATAAAATAATTTTTAGTTTTTGTGGGTACATAGTAGGTATGTAAATTTATGGGATAGATGAGATGTTTTGTTACAGGCATACAATGAGTAATAATCACATCATGGAGAATGGGGTATCTATCCCCTCAAACATTTATCCTTTCTGTTATGAACAATCCAATTATACTCTTCTAGTTATTTTAAAATATACACTCAAGTTATTATTGAGTATAGTCACTCTGTTGTGCTATCAAATACTAGGTCTTACTCATTCTGAAAAGTGAATCTCTAAGAACTGTTCTTCCAGCATCCAGAAAATTCTAGTTTAGGGATAAACTTTACTAAATTATTTTATTCCTGAATGTGTGGGGACAATATAGATTAGTATTAAAGGGCATAGGCTCTGGAATGAGACTCTCTGGGTTCAAATCCTTTTGTACTGTTTACCAGCTTTATGACCTTGAGCTCATTCAGTGTTTGCTTCCTTCTCAATAAACTGGATAGGAATAATAGTAACTATCTCATAGGTTATTGAGAATTAAATAGGATAATGTATGGAAAGCACTTAAGTCACAGTGCCTGACACATGGTAAAGTCTTGATAATCTTAAGTAAAATCATTTATATACATTCTCAAAGTTATTTACAAATCTATTTCAAAATAAATCTATTTATGATGACTGCACCTAAATATAGTAGACGATAGCAACTAGATCTGCAAGTAAAATGATAATACAGTCGTTTTTTTTGCAATATTTCATTTCCCAATGCTAAATGCATGAGTTGATATACAAACTGTTCTTTTACTAATTCAAGTCAGTGGATCCAGAACTTTACTGTGAAGGACACTGATAAATGGGGCATGTGACACAATTCATTAACTTGAATATTCTAGGGGAGAAATGATGAGGGCTTGATTAGTACAGACAAGGCAGTAGCTTTATAACAATAAAAACTAACACTTTTGGCCAGGCGCGGTGGCTCAAGCCTGTAATCCCAGCACTTTGGGAGGCCGAGGCGGGTGGATCACGAGGTCAAGAGATCGAGACCATCCTGGTCAACATGGTGAAACCCCGTCTCTACTAAA